CTTTCTAGGCCCTTTCTAGGCCCAACGATGGCAGGCCTATTTTAGGGTATGCCTATTTGGGCCCAACGTTGACAGACCTATTTTAGAGCATGCCTGTTCAGGCCCTATATGGACGTAGGGCACGCCCCGACAAAATTCTACCCGGGAAGGTACAAATCGAAGCCAGACACTTGTCGTCTGAATTACACACATGTTCACACAAGAAAAGAGACACACACACATACACATGCACGCACACACTACATTCGGTAATGAACAGATTCAGGAAGTATTAATATAAGAAATTGTATTCAAATCATTTAGTATAGAAGTGTTAAAGAATGTCAGTACAAGTAAATGAACAATTTTTAATACTTTTTAAGCTTCAGTAATAAAAATAAAAAAATGAATTAAATTTTCATTTATTTCCAGGAATATTCCCTGAACTCGAATTTGTTATACAGCGCTTAGTCAAACGGCTTCACCAGTTGTAATTGTTTCAGAAGATATCGACGTTTTAGTTATTTTAGCTGCATTATGTCCTATTGAAAAAGTAATGTATTTTTTAAAACCAGGAAGAGGTAAAACTGAAACAATTATTTATTCTTCAACTGATATGTTGCAATCGTATCCACAATCAAAAACTTACATTCTGTTTTTACACGCGTTCACTGGATGCGATACAACTTCAGCTTTTTTTAATCACGGAAAAAACACTTTTATAAAAAAATTTGAAAATAACAAGACTTTGCACAAAATGACAGACATATTATATTTTACAAGAAAAACAGCAGTAGTAAAGATATTTTTGACGCTGGTGAGCAGTGCACATTGATTTTATATGGAGCGTCAAAGTCGGACAACGATCTCAACAAATATAGATACAAATGTTTTGTCAGAGGCGTCTCTAAACGGCGCAAAATGTCTCTCGCGTTTTTACCGCCTACGGATGACTCAGCTCGACATTTCAAACGAATATATCTCCAAGTACAGCAATGGTTAGGACAAGGCGAAAGTTTCTCTGCAAATGACTGGGGATGGATTCAAAAAGATTTTTTACATCCCATTTCAATGACGAAGTCTCCAGTCCCTGAAAAACTATTAAAAAATTTATTTTGCAGTTGTAAAAGCGGCTGCGAGAATAACTGCGGATGTAAAAAAACAAGTTTATACTGCAGCACTGCCTGCTTAACTTGCAGTGGCGTGGACTGCCTGAACGCACCTCCAATTGAAGACATCATCGAAACTGACACAGTAGGCGATGTTCAAGACTCAGAAGAGACCGATTCATAAACATATTTCTTATATTAAACAACATTATATGAATTTATTATGTTTATACTTTTTCATTAAAACGGTCCTTATCAAACAAACGATCTTCATTTTTCTTTCATTTGACCTTAAATTGTTCAGTCGTCGTTAAGTTCGTCGTTAAGTCGTCGTTAAATCGTCGTTAAGTTCGTCGTCATTTTATATTTCTTAAATGTAATATAAATTTGATTATTGCAATATCCAGAAACCCTTGAAAAATAATTTTTTTCGGTTTATTTTACAATATTTCACATTTTCATCGGCCATATTGACTCCGCCATTTTGAATTTTTTAAATCTGACATCAAATTCGTGTTCAGCATACCCGAGAACCCCCTGGAAACAATTTTCATAATTTTTCATTGTATTATAATCGAGATATTTCATTTTAGTACTAATTTTCCAGTTATTTGTTATTATTTAATTAAGGGGTGATTAGCGGAAATTTTCAAGATAGCACATTTTTCTTAGACAATATTTTGAAGCGATTGGCGAAGGTTTCATAAAAAAATATGGATCGCAGACTTATTCCGAAGTTATAGCCTTATTTCGCCTAATTTGACTCCCCTAATACTTGGCACTGATAATCAGTGAAGTTCAACTAAAAAAGGAAAAATGTTTAAGCATTATATAACTAAAATACTGATATTTGCACGTTAATTTCAATTTTCCATACCATATTCATTGAATTTAAGCACTAAAATAAGGTTAGTTAGATCACATAATAAAGATTAGCTAGGTTAGGGATCTCACATTTAATTCACTGATTACCGGTGGCATACTTGATACTGATATCAGTGATTATCCACTGATTCAGATTTAGAGAGTATGCAACTTAGATTTAATATAGAATACGTATTTATATGGTGTGCGTTATATATTTTAAAAGCGTATAAGACTAGTATAGAAATAATGATTTCAGATTTGTAAGACGTGCGGTTTAAGTTAAATTTAAAAGTAGATTTTAAATTAATTATAATCTTAATTGTAATTGTGATTGTAATTTTAATGTTAATTATTGTTAATTAAACAGTATACATTGTTTATTTCTTTTATGTAACATTTACTTATTATATTTTGAGGTCTAGCAGCGAGCCAAGTATTTTTACATAAAAAATTTTATTTTAATAAAATTTTCTCATTTTGTGATGCTTCGTCTTTAATTTTTTTTAGATTAAACGTTGTATTCAATTGCAAATATAAAAGACTCTTGAACAGAAAGATAAAGGTTATACGTATCATTTTGTCTCGTTAATTAAATATTGTTATATGTTGCACTAACGTATATGTTCTTTTCGCAATTTACAAAATACAATAGTATATGTTATATGTTGCAAGAAATTATATATTCGTTTTGCAATTGGCGTAATTTAAAGCTTTGATTTCATTTCTTTTTTAATACGTATTGCATACGTACGGTAGACCGGGGAGTAAAGAGCCACTTTTGACATTTTTTGCTATAAAATAAAGAATACTTAACTCACACAGATCGTGTTGACATTTTTCGAAACTATAGTCCTTTGACTATAAAATACATGCTGTATGCATATATACCTTTCATTAGAAAGATATCGTAAATTTTACAGAGGAAGTCATTCGGCACTTCTTACCCCATATGTGGGGCAAGAAGTTCCACATAATGGGGTTAAAAGTACCAATACTAATATATTACGTTTGAACTATTTTCAGAGATAAAAATAGGTATATACTAGAGAGTTTTTTTATTATAAGGTGGGTTTTTATTATTAAGAGGGTTTTGGTAACAAAATTATAATAGAAATATTTCAGTTTTAATAGAAAATTAAATTATTAATGTTTTCTTAACCTAAGACAAACTTTGAAAAGAAGAAACAAAACTAGCACTATATCGTTCTCGAAAACAAATAAAAATAGACTTTCCTCTTACACTTGATTTTTTAAATCATTTTGACCTTAATAAAAAATTAAATCAGTCTTCCAATAATGGATGATTATAACGAATTTAAAAAAATATTTGTTATAAAAAGATAATTAAGCGATAAAATCATTCGTCATTATTATTACAGTAATATAGACGCGTCGAATAAGCCTAATTTCATCGAAATCGGAGATGAAAGTCGCATTCTGAATAATTTATTTGTCTTTCTGCGTAACGAACACCACTAATGCTAATTCTACAATGAGTCGATAATCGAAAGTAATCGGTAACGTTTTGTACTGTTGGCTATTGGTCAACTTCACTGATAAGATTATCGACTTAGGATTATCGACTTGTTATAGAATCAACATTAACGAATACAAAGCAACCATGGCACTTTTACCCCAACAACCATGGCACTTTTTACCCCAACAAGTCACGTAAACTTTGCGGCATTATTATTAAAAAACTATAATAGAAATAACAATTCTAATAATCACACTGTTAAAACAATAGAGAATAAGATTAATAAATACACTTATTTATTCTATCTAGGTGCAAAAATGATCCCTTCAGACCAAAATAACTGCGCGCTAATATCTTACTTTTGGCTCTCAAACACATAGGTACATCCGTGCAAGTTTCCTGACGGTTATTAGGCAGTAACGAACTGTGTGACATAAGATTCTCACTCTTAGTTGACGAACTGTGGCGATTTTCTAGTAAATGCCTTATTACCGAGATACAAGGGGTGGACCTTTTTCCCCGGGGACATTTACTCCCCGGTCTGCCTACTACTGAGGGGTAATTTATAATAAAAAATTAACAACATTACCACTTGAACTATATTATTTATGTAACGGTTTTATTTTTAGTTTATGTAAAGTATAGTTTTTTATGGAAGGTACATGCACACTTGGCGCCTTTTTTTTACCTTTTTTTAAAAAGGTAATTTTGTTAAGTATGAATATTCATGAAGCGAGTACATCAATACAAAATAAATCTGTCAATGTGGGATATAAGAATTGTTCGAAATAGGTTCTAATGATAGAGAAGAGGATAAATTAGAAAAATATCTCTTGACATGTAATGATATTTATTTCGGACTCTCATCAAAAGAAGTGAGAAAGCTGGCATATCAATATGCTGTTGCTATTAAAGCAAAATTTCCTGAAACCTGGACAAAGAATATGATGGCTGGACCAGATTGGTTTAGTAAATTTATAAAGCGAAATGAGGAACTAAGTATAAGAACGCCTGAAGCAACAAGTTTAGCTCGTGCTACAAGTTTTAATCGCACCAACGTACAATTATTTTTTAATAATTTGATAAATGTTATGACACGATTTAAATTTCAGCCATGTGATAAATGGAATATGGATGAGACTGGCGTGTTCACAGTACAAAAACCAAATAGAGTAGTGGCAAGGCGTGTCATTAAACAAATTGGACGTTTAACGTCTGCAGAAAGAGGACAACTGGTTACATTAGCTTGTACTGTATTAGCCACTGGCAATTCTGTTACACCATTTTTTGTGTTTCCTAGAGTTCACTTCAAGGATCATTTTATCCACAACGGCCCTGTAGATTGTGCCGGAGGAGCCAATCCATCAGGATGGATAAATGAAGAGAATTTTCTTTTATATCTGGTGGACTCATTTGGTGAAGAATGTGAAACCCAGCCGAGCCAATCGTATTCTACTTTTATTAGATAATCATGACTCTCATTTATCAATTAATGCTCTTAATTATGCAAAGGAAAATGGAATTATTATGTTGTCATTTCCACCGCACTGCTCTTATAAGATGCAGCCATTAGATGTCAGTGTTTACGATCCATTAAAGAAATTTTTAAGTACTGCTCAGGATTCATGGATATTAAATCAGCCAGGCAAAACTATTAGCATCTATGATATACCTAGTATTGTTAGAAACGTTTTGCCCTTGGCCTTAACACCTTCAAATATTATGGCAGGTTTCAGAGTAAGTTAAAAAGTCTTATGTTTTAAATAATATTGTTACAGCTTTTGGACATGTATCTATATTCTGTGTATGTGACTATATTTATTCTAACTTTTTTTATCTTAGTCTATAATTTTATAAATTTATTTCTAATTTATGCGGATTTATAATTTTCGATGTAAAGTATTTTAATATCTTATAATTAATATATTTTTTACAGAAGCCAGGTATTTATCCATTAAATCCAAATGCATTTACTGACATGGATTTTGCTCCATCATATGTGACAGATAGAGTTGAAGCACCTCAACATGAGAACATAGTTGCGGTATCAAATGTAAATGCTATACATTATATTTATATATCTTATAAGAATTATCTAAACAGGTTGTTTTTCTCCAAATTTATATAGGAACAAAATACAATAGATTATTCAACAGCTAATGTTGATCCATCATTTAATCAAAATGATTTATGTGCTGATGTTTATGATTTAAGTAATATTCCTGTCGTAATATCATCTGTAAATATATGAGTTTTGTTTTACTAATTTTATTTTTAATACTCTTTCCTAATTACTATAACACAATTTATTGTTTTTTGATAGAGCGTTGACAGTAGAATAGCTGATTGTGAAATAATTGAGACAATTACAGGAAAGTATTTCCAAAATATATTTTTTATTTCAAATTAATTAGGATATTTTTATTTTTTCTTATTTTCATTTTTTTATTACAGATACAGGTGAAATGTCGAATAAAATAAGCTGTGTATATTAAAACCTGAATTATTAACTTCTTGTGAGTCTATACAGTATGAAGCTTGTGAAGGCAAGTTACAACTATATTTTATAGTTTATTTCTTAAGTCTACGGTATACAATGGTTGTTTTCGTGGGGTGTGTTCAGATTTCCATATCGAGTATCATGTTATCCTTATTTAACGTTCGGTAAACAATAAGAATGGATATAGGAATTCAAGTATAGCCTTGATGGACTGCTTGTATTTTTATAAATTCTTTATACATTTTGTCTTCTGTATGTAATTTTTATAGTATCCTAAAATATAAGCAGGAAAACAAATATTATACCGCACTTTATTTCATTAATATATATTTTTAATATATATCTTTACGCTATTATTTAGATTCAGTAGCGTTATTAAAAAAAGAACGAGTTAATGTTGAGTTAGAAAGTATCAGACCTTTACCTAAGGCTCAAGCTCGATTAGTTACTACAAGGACAAGAAAAAAAAGAACTTCAGCAATTCTAAATGATAGCCCAATCGAGAATGCTTTGGCTCAAGAAAAGAAAATAAATAAGAGAATGAGAGTATAAATAAGAAAACATATAAAAGAAGAAATTCCAACATAGGCCCAAACTTGAAAAAATCTAAAAAAACTGAAGTATCTTCAGGTAATTTGATATTCTTTAATAAATTAAAGGTATGTTTTTTGGAAAGATACGTTTTATAGAAATTTCCATAAAAAGCGTTTCATAAGATTTTATAGCAACAAAGTTTTATATAATGAATAAATTTTAAGTTTGTTTAATGCCTCTCTATATGTTTTTATATAATTACATGAAAACAAACCTTTAATTAAAATATTGTTATGCCCGTCGCATGCCGTGCTATGCGGACACCCGTGGTGTCACGTTGTCAGGACGCCGTGCGGTTGTTGATAAAAGACGGCTGTCAGATATTGAGGAGAAGTCAGAACGCTCGGACGTGCTTCTCCACTGATATTACATTTTACGATACGGTATTCTGTACGGACGATTTCGTGGAGTTGACGTGGCTCAATAAACGACTTCCTGTTTTCCATACTTTAAAAACCCTTGAGTCTGTTCATTTCCGCGGCTTGGGCGCGCGCGTTGCTATACGAGTGCGATCTTGCATAACGGGCGCAACAATATCACTCTATCTCTTAAAAATATAATAACTTAAAAAAATTTTTGTTTCAGTACTTACTTCAAAAGAACGAAAAAAGGTAGGAAAAGAAAATAAAGAAAAGGATATATATACAAAAAGGGAAAATATTAATGATTGTGTTTGTTCAGTGTGCAATGGAAAATATTCAGAAAGTAAGAAAGATTGGATTAAATGTTTGCAATGTGCAAATTGGATACATGAATCATGTTCAGATATACAACATATTTGTTACACTTATACTTAATATATTTATTATTCATATTAAATACGAATTATCTATTTTTCCAATTACTTTTCTTTATATTTGTAATACACAAATTGTAAAAACAGTGAATGCATCGAGAATTTTTTGTTTAACATTTTTTGAAGTCTCAATTATTCTACCAAAAAGTTAAAAACTTATAATTTTGTGATTAGATGTTGTGTTTAAATATTTAATGATAACATGAAAAATGTTTTTATAAAGAAATATTATGAGCGAGTAATGATAATATAAAGTGTTTTTGTATAAGCAAAGATTAATTTGTAATAAAAAAAATGTTTAATATAAATTCTGTTGCATTACATTTAAAATTAACTTATATTTGTGTTAAAACAATTAAATATTTACATATTATATAAAACAGCTACATATAAATTAGTTTATCTATAACATAAAAAAATGTACATAAACTATTTTATATTTGTTCCATAAAGTGTTTATTTATATATAAAGTAATTTGTTTTTCTGCAATAGTATTTTGCTACTAAAATATCGTTACAAGTGTCGAGCATCTGCACAGCAAATTGTTGCACATAAATTTGATCCTGATTCCTGCTATCTTACGCTAAATTCGTTAAATTGTAAGTTAACCTCTCTTAAGAGGGTATGTTTAATATATGCTACTGTTCTAACGTGTAATACTAAAAGTTTATATTTATTTACATTATACAATATAAATAACAATATTTCTATTCAACAGTGTAAATTGGATCGAATGTATTTGAGTAAAATTATTAAACATATGCTGCACATGGTTTAGGTTACGTTCGACACTTGAAGCTTCCATATAAAGGCAATTTAAATCATTACAAAATAATTTTAGGAAGAACAATCTTTATCAAGAAGTGCATATATGCGATTTATTTATATATCTTTTATGTTTTCATTAATTTTACATGGAGCTTGTATATATGGGCAATTTAACCCATGACATGTAATTTACCCCACTATCGGGGCAAGCTGGCTGCAATGCAGCGTGTTCGTATTTTACTTACTATAAAGAAACTATACAGTATACAGGATCGTTCCTAGCATGAAAATGTAGAAAAAAGTTCTTTCTATCATATTAACATAATTTAATCATAACAATCAGTCATTTAAAGGACTTAAAGGGGAACAGCACTGTGAAATTTTAAAAAAATCGAAAAAATTTTTTTCTTTTAAATGATGCTTTAGAGTCTTTAAAATAAGGTGCAATTGATCTTATACGTAAAAAAATTTTTTTAAGTGTTTTTTTAAGGTTTTATAACTGATTTTTTTAAACAATTAAGGCATGACGGCCATGACGCCATTGAAGCGTTTCGTGACAAAAAGCGAAAGCCTCGGACAGTTTACATGAATATCAGCATAAAACGCCTCTTTCACAAGAAATTTTCAATATCTTGAAGCCAGTGTATGAAGATTTGAGCAGGGACGACTTACTCAATCAT